TTGATTTGCATTTCTCTAATGAGTAGTGGGGTTGAGCACCTTTTCACTTACTATTGGCTATTTGTATGTCTTCTTTGGGAAAAATGTCTGTTCAGGTCCTTTGCCCACTTTTTAATTGTTGTTTGTTTTTATGCTGTTGAGTTTTAAGAGTTCTTTGTACATGTTGCATATTAACACCTTATCTCATACATAATTTGCAAATATTTTCTCTCATTCCATAGGCCGCCTTTTCATTCTGTCGATTGTTTCCTCTGCTGTGCAGAAGCTCTTAAGTTTGATGTAGTCCCACCAGTTTATCTTTGCTTCTGTTGCCTGTGCTTTTGGTGTCATAGGACATAGAATAAAAACTAAGGATAAACAGCTTTCAGCTGTTTCAGAGCTCTGGCAGAGAACTCACAGGCCTCTTCTCAATGAACAGCAAAGGTAGGAGACATTGCAAACCACGGTGCTGCAGTTTTTATTTGGTTATTTGCTCCCCTGCCCTTCGTTTACCTAGAAACACCTCATTTGAAAGGAAGCAAGCAGCAGCCTTATCTGTATTCTGAAAAAGCCCTTAAGTCCAGTCCCTTTCTTAAGTTTTATAAAACAAGTTTGTTATAAATTGGGTGACATATTCTCAGTTCTTACAAATGTTAAATGTTGGTTGCAACTCTAATTTTAACAACAATCTAAGCAGAGGTTTCTAAACATTTTGGGACAACACACCCCATCAGAAAAAAGTTTTCAACCATAAATATTCAAAAACACTAATATTTATTGATTTGTAAGTTATAGGTATAGAAGTCTGTTATATTTTGAGCATTATGAAGGATATACAGAAACATGAACTGAAACACAAATCAGATAAGAATAATTGTCAGTGTAAGTTCTAAATTATTTCTCGTATTCCAATGCATCATTTCCAGCAGTCTTTGGGTGTGCATACCCCACTTTTGAGATCCCTGAGCTAATATGAGATGTGAGGGCTTCAGTGAGGTACTCATAGAGAGAATGATGTGGTCATTCCCCTCTTGACCCTGCCTGAGTGAGGATGTTTCCTTTATCACCCAAGTAAAGCCATACTGGACAACAGTAACTTTTAAATATTCTTTGATATGATTCATTTACTGTGATTACTTTGTAATCACAAAGAATGAATTAGTGTCTGCTAGGCACAGGTACAAGAACACATTTGCCATAATCACTGAAGGGAAGTAATGAGTTTTATATTATGGCACATGAATTAAATAAATCATGGACACATAATTATGCATACATTTCCTATGTTGGAAGAAGATGGGACCAGCATTTATTGATGACCTACTGTGTGTCAGGCACGTTCTCGGTGACTTAAATATGTTAAAACAGATCAGGACTCTAAAACCTTTACCTAATGTTTGGCATATAGCACGTTTCATTATCTTTCTCTTGCAATCATCAAAATTGCCTAGATAATTAGGTATCAGCATCTTCACTGTTTACAAATAAGTCACCTAAGGATCAGAGAGGTTTAAGAAACTGACTGTAGTCACACCTGATAGAAGGCAGAAGAGTCCTTTCTGGTTCTGTAACTACATTTTCAGGGTTTTTTGTTTTTGTTTTGTACTTCTGTCATTCTAAGTGCAGTACTGGTTTTGTCACCTACGACAATGATATTTTTGGCCACATGTGCAGAATGGCTTATTGCATATTCTTTGTTGTTCTGGTGGTCAGAGTGTTATAATTACATCCATGCTTTAAAATGAATTTACCTTGATTTCCTTATTTTTGTTGCATGGGTGATGATGAGCTTATGATGATTACATTTCTCAGGTCCTCTAGGAGGTTGGATTTACTTCTGTGTTTCATTGTCTACAATCTGTGTTAGTTATCTACTGCTGTGTGCAATTACCCACAAAATGTAGTGGACTAAAACAACAGTGAACAGCCATGATGTTAGCAAGTCCATGGCTCAGGAGTGTGGGTGTGGCCAAAGTGTGTGGTTCTGCCATGGATTCTGTTGTAGCTGCATCATTTGAAGGCTTTACTGGGGCTCCTTCTCCACCATCTCTTCCATGATGGCTCACTCATGCTCAAGCATCCTCACAGGAATATAAAGCCAGAAGGAATTTCCTGCTTGGTGGTATTCAAGGTTGTTTATTTTATTTTTTAATTTTTTTTGTGAGCAGTGCAGCCAATCTTTCAAGGAAAACTTGAAGAAGACATCTGTAGGTGAGGGAACAGAGCTGCTCTGATGTGGAGGTGGACACCCTTCCCCCTCCTCCTCCCCTTCCTGAGGCAGAATTTGAAAACCAATAATCTGGTCTGAGCTGCTCATTTAAAATCCTTATTTATTTGTTGTCCTCTTAAGGGATCTTCAAAAATGACAGAATTCCAATTTTTGTTTTTAAAAAGGCATTATCCTAAAATTAAAAAAATGCCAAGGTAAGTAGTAGTGTTTTAACAGGAGCTATTCACTTGCTAGAATTACATAAGAACTGGAGATTAACAATTTAGGAGTAAACGTGGCTCAGGGCTCCTAAAGGACTGCTGGTCCTCCTCTACCCTACCTTTATTAACAGTGTGGGAAACACACAGCTATTGAGATCTCAGGGAGGCCTTGTGAGTCTGGAGTTTACCTGGCTCCAAATTGGCTCTGTAACCTTTCACCTGCTTTTCATGGCCACACTCCAGCTTCCTTCCCTCTTCCAAGGGGCTGGCTTGTTTCATGGAGCCTCTCTCCTTGTCCTCATCACTTCCCTTTTAAAATGAGATCAGGCGGCTTTCCCTGTCCGTGGCTGCACAGACTCACGCAGTCATTGCCTGGCAGTTGGCATCATGTTGCAGCTATTGTCTTTAATGTGTCACATTGTTTTACTATATTCTATTGCTTTTACAACTTCATGCATCTATTCAGTCCACAATATGTGACTATTTCCTGGGCCCATGGAGGTCTGGTTCTCACCAGAGAACTTGCAAAGGCAGATAAGACATGGTCATTACCTTCCATTAGGACAGGATGTAGCCTGGGAATCAGAATTACAAAAAAAAATGTGTATTCCAGCTTCAAATGGTCTTAACATTTAAAGAACTAATTTTCTTTTAATGGGCCTTTTTAAAGTGTGTGGGAAATATTATGTACCAAGCTTCAAAAAACATAATTTTAGAACCTCAAAAGGCATTAAGTTAAATGTATGCTTTCTGCATTTTTTTCCCATTTTAACATTTTTGGTTAATTTGGCCTATAAAATGCTATCAAAGTACAGTTAAGTCAAAAACAGTTTTCAGTGAATCTCCTAAGTATAAATAGCTTTCAAAAAAATTCTTTTTAATAGATTATGATTTGGACAATTGATGAGAAGGGAGAAACCAACAGAATATAGAAAACATAATCAAGTTTTTGAAAACTTAGCTTAAAGTCCCACCAGGAGATAAAAAATATACAATTAAGCTTCTTTTACAGAAAAAAACCACATAATTCCTCTTCTGTCCACCTCATTCTCTGTTCTTTTTCTAAGAATTCGTACGTTAAGTTTACATGTTCCTCCTCTCAGTATCGTTATTTACAGCACCCACTGTTTCCATGGTTACACAGAATGTCTGTTCCCATAGCAACACTCTTGGTTTCCTAAACAAATAGTATCACAGAGTTAATCTTGTTTCAATGTTATTGTACTGTATTATTAGATACAAAATTCAAAAAATAATTTAAGCAGGGCTTGAAAGGAGGTGGGTTGGTTTTATTGCTTGGTGCTTTCAATATTAAATTTCAATTTCATATTAAAATACATATCCATTTGAAAAATAGTGGGAATTTTGCATAGTAAACATGATACCAATTTTATTTACTAGTTATAAAACACTGTAATTTAATAAGAGGGTGTTCCAATACATGACCTGTATACAGGGAGAGGTTTACCATCTTCAGATTAAAATGACTGTTTTTCAGTTGGCCTGGATGATTTAGTTTCCCTAAATCTCTGAAGTCACTTATAACCATACCCACAGCCATATTTCCCTTTGCTGTTTTTGCATTTTAAGTGATTTCTGCCGGTTTTGCCTTTTATTTTGCAGCCTTGCAGGCACAGCTGTGAAGAAGACTTCCAGAGAACTTGAAAACTTCCTTTTTCTCCAATTGAAACAAAAGAGAAAAATTAGTTGGTTTCAGTGATTTTGTCTTTAAATTTTTTTGTCATTACCCTCATTTTACCCTCATTTCCTTCCTTAGGAGCAGATCTTTGGGACTCTTTCAGAAATGGGACTCTGCCTTCCCCCAGCCTCAACACATATATACATTTAATTGAATTGAGTGTATTTGACTCCTACAGGAGAGCTTTTGCACACAGAGGATCTCAATGTGCAGCATAAGGGAACAGGAAAATTACTTTTATTTAACTGAAGTAAGAGAAATCTGGGTCTCTGCACTCTGCACTCTGCCCCATTAACATGGCATTTCAGAAGCCAGCTTTTTCACTTTGCTTTTGAGAGTGTCTTACTTTAAGTATATTATTATTTAAATGACTTTCCCTCCCCAGTTTTAGCGTGAAAGGGATTGGATGGAGTATAATATAATAATTTGTAAATGTGAAATAGTTTGCTCTGCTTTGGGGAGAGGAGTCAATAATGAACTACAGCTAATATCAAAATTTGGACCCACCACACCCTACAGGGACAGCTTGGGGGCCATCAGACCAGTGAGCAGGAGGATGTCAGACCTCTGCTCAGGCATGTCCTAGCTATGGGATTTGGGGCCTGTTACTGGACTCCTCTGAGCCTCACATTCCTCATCTATAAAACTGGGAAAGTCTCCCCTGACTTTGCAGCATTGTTCAGAGATCAAAGATAAGTAAACAGCTTGGTGACTCTTGTTTTGCTAAGTGGTAGCTATTGTTATGCTTTGCTGATTTTCCTTCTTTTCTTGGTAATTTGGGCACCAGCGTCAGAGCCTGATTCCTCTGCAGCACTAGATGAGGATGGATCCTACCGCAGGGTGGCTTCAGCTTTTCTCCCCTCCCCTTCCCTCTCCTTCCTTCTCTCGGCAGGCAGCCTCAGGTTTTCCGATCAGAGAGAGGTGAGCATTCAGATGCCAGCGGCCACCTGGCCGGTGTGGGTCCCTTATTGGCGGCAGACATGCCATTTGGAAAACCCTAGAGAGAGGTCCTTACTGATCTGCATCCGGCGATCTCCATCTCCATGCAGTGAGGATATACAGGTGTGTCTGAGCCTCCAGTAATCATCTGGAGATCTTGTTGAAACATAGGGTTTGGTGGGGGCAGGTCTGGGTAGGGACTGTTTCTAATTGGCTGCAAGCTCTCAGATGATGCCGCTGTTGGTAGATCTTGAATGGGAAAGTTCTAAACTTCTCAAATGAGAGATTTTCGCATATTTATTAAGACCCTGGTGAGGGACCAGATTCCGTAACACTGGGGCCCCAAACTACTTTGTCCCGGGCATATTTGGGGTCTTGTTCTTCTAGTACAAGATCCAAACCATCCTGTTGCATTGAACTTGGCTTCCGTGTAAGATGAAGAGAAGATGCTGGCTGGAGTCTTGGGTCCTTTTCAATGGCACACTTCCTTCATTTAAAAGTAACTTAAATCAGGGAATATTCAGAATTGTGTCCATTAAAATTGTGATTAATTAAATTCTGTTCAGCTGATTTGAATCTCCTATAAGACTAAGAATCAATATGCTTCTGTTGTATTAGGAAAAATGTGTAACAGCATTAGAACTGATTATCAAAAATAGCTTAATATTCCAATAAGAAATTCAGTAACTCATTGATGAATGAGTTTAGAAGCTGGCTGCATAGTATGTAATCACCAAAAACTACAATGTAATTAATATTTCAGAATTTGCTAAGAGAGTTTTGTTTTCATTTCCTTATGTTACATTGACAGTATAACAAATCCAGTGAAGTTTTCTTAGACAATACTGTGTTTGGTTTCTATTCTCTTGTACTTTAGAACTCTGTTAGGATTTTATTTGTTGTATCTTAATAGCAATGTTTCTTGCACAGGAACCTTTTAATGGAAATTCACTCTTTTGTGAGATTATATTTTAAAATGAAACTGTATTTGAAAAGCCTAAAAAAAAAAAAATCCAGGGCTTTCTAGGGGATTTTGTCACTTGGGTTTTCCTTATTTATGATCTCATTGTCAAGGATTGCATGAGCTTCTAAAAAGTCAAAGGGATTGGGGTTTCCAATAAATATATGCAAACAGACTTGTTTTCATTTTTATTCATATGCTAAATATATTCACTCAACTAGCATTGACCTCATAGTGAATCATGATGAATCTAGTTGCCCTTCTCAAAAATAGCAATAAAACTGTAACAAAATCAATTCCCGTAGGGAAAGGAGGCAGTCAGGGTCTAATAGTGGCTTGCTTGCTGTGCAAAATATGCCAATTGTAGATGGAAAACTCATAAAAACATATAAAAAATGTGGATGAAAATAGTATCATCCTTACACAGTAAGGAGCATATGAGCTCATGAAAATTGAACACTTAGAACAGTACCTGGCACATACCAAGTGTTCAATAAATATGTATCGCTATTACTCCTGACTGACATCTTATCATTTGTAAGGAGCAAGACTATGGTAGCACAAGCTTCCCACAGCTCTCTTTATATGAAGATACATATTTTTATCTAGACCTATGCCTATATTTTTTGAGTGGACCATTTCATAGATGATGGTTCACACAGTTGTGGCAAAATATGACACAGTACAGTAGAAGGAAAGAATGAAAATATTCCTGAGAGTCTATAATTGCTGTAATTTGAATGTCCAGTTCGAACAGATTACCTTCCATGGGGTTCTGTGTTCATAGACTCTCATAAAGATTATCATTTATAAAGAAACTGTTTTCCAAATAAAAGAGGGTTATAATTTATAAAAAAAAATCTGTGCTTAGAACTCACACATATAAGTGAATGTATATATTTCTAGAAGAAATGCACATATATTTTTCTTCTAGTTGTATTAACTGAAAATGAATCGTGGCCATTGGTGTCGCTGGTGTGTTACAGAGCAGTAACGCTAAAGTAGTGCTTTCACAGAACAGAGAAGGGGAAACTTAGCCAATAGTTGATGTGGTGAAGTCAATCTGCCATTCCAAATCACCGAAGCCCAACATCAGCCAGGTGGACAGCTCTCACTTGCTGAGACTATTAAGCCATTCTCTCATTATGTTCTGTGTGAACCTGAAGGATGTCCACAGGGAAATTCTCCATTATTTTGTGGGGCTTTTGCACTGTCTATGTATGCAAAGTGAAGCTCCTAGTATTTTGCCTGTATAAAAATACATCATGATAGAGATAAGGTTTGGTGAAAATGCGCAACTCAGAATAAACCTACAGTGACTTGTGGGACGGAACAGCAGCTGGAGGCTTTCAGGAAAGCAATGAAGGATGCCGTCTCGACTGTCAGAATCCTGGCTCAGATCTGGGCTCAACCTTTTGTGAACTGTTTGACTTCGAGAAAGTTTGCGAGCTTCTCCATGCCTCAGACTATTTACTTATTTTTAATCAGCATGCAGTAGTGCCTATTCCAAAAGTGACTGTAAGAATACACATAGCAGTGTACACAGAGTATACATAGATAGTAATCAATATACGTTAATGATTATTAGAAAGTGAATAAGCTTTCCCATAACTGTCATTAAGATTATTAGTCATATATTGCAGTTTAATGAGTTGCTTCCTGTTTTGCCAGAGCTGATTATAAACTTATTAAGGTTTGATACTGGCAAACATTTAGCTATCCTAAAGCTTCTGAGTCATGTGAATATCTCAAATTCAAGAGAGAATGTAGTAGTCAGATACCAGTTCAGAAAGTGCTGTGAATATCAGGAATTTTAAATGAAATCCAAATGGCTAGGACATTAAATAATTCTTAAACTCTGGGTTTAGCTAGGTCAACAGAATTCTGGTAGAAACCATTAACCTATGATTTTAGTCACCTTGGGCTGCTCTAGCAAAATACCCCAGGCTGGGGGGCTTAAACAACCAAATCATTTCTCACAGCTCTGGAGGCTGGACATCCAAGATCAGGGTGCTGGCAGATTCGGTGTCTGGTGAGGGTCTGCTTCCTGCTTCCCGGACGGTGTCTTACTGCTGTGTCCTCACCTGGCCTTTCTTCTGTGTGTCTTCAGAGAGGGCTAGAGCACTGGTCTATTTTCCTTTTCTTGTAAGGACACTAATCCTCATGGACCAGAGCCCCACCCATTGCACCTCATTCAGCTTTAAGTATTCCATGAAAACTCTATCTCCAAATAGTGTCCTATTGGGTGTTAGGGCCTTAACAAGTGAATTGGGGGAGACATAAACATCCAGTCCCTAGATCTGCTTCCTTTCTGGCATCCTATGAACTCAGAATAATGTGCAAGGGTGCCTGTGCAGGGCACTCCCTCAGTCTGTCCTCTGCCCTCCCTGTCCCCAGGGACTTTCTCTGTCTACAGCTCTGCTTTATGGCTGGTAGTCTGTGGATGCACCCTCAGGGACTTCTGTCTGTTCTGTCTGCTAACTTGTCATGTCAAACAGCTGTATTCCCATACGATGTCTTTCGGATCGCTCGCTATTAAGGCACATTTTGCTTGTGTGAGTCGTTGGGATGACTGATATGGTCGGGTCTACTCAGTCTTCCTTGTGCTTTCTTGGTTTTGACGACTCCACTCCTCTTTCTCCTGGAGAGGAACCTGCTCTCTGAGTAGCACTACATACATTTCAAATGAGTATTTGTCATTTGGACAGACAGCATCCAAAAGGGGAACTGGTAACTACAAACAACGTTGCTACCAGGATGACTGGGAGGACAACGTTGCTACCGGGATGACTGGGAGGACAAAAGAGGGATCCCACTCTGGGTAGTGATCGCAGGAAATCCCTTACCCACAGGACAGAGGGAATGGAGGGCAGAGTTGGGGATTAAGTTTAGACACTGAAGGGCTGAGGGTGGTGGGGCACTGAACAGAAAGCTGACGACTAGCACAATCCAAGATGTTTTACGGGGAGATTCCTTTAATAAAGCCCTTAAGGGTCAGTCATGCTCACACTTAGAATCCTGTGACTGTTTATTGATGATATACTAGGTGTTTCTGATGTTGGATAAAAAAGTAGGATAGTCTTTCTGTGCTAACCGTAGTTTATTAACAGTGCTTATGAATGAGTGCAGCCTTGGTCTGTGGGTTAGAAACATTGAAAAAGAGGTCAGTTTTGACGATGCAGATGGTGGTTCTGGGTGAATTTCCTTCAATTCATGATAAAAATTTAATCTAAGATGATTGTCTTGCAGAGAAATGCCTGATATTCCTTAATGAAAAAGTGCTAAAATTTTGAAATATGGTTCTAATATGCATGCAAATTGGGTAAGATGAGAAACTACTCTCTTGTGGGGAAATTCCAAATAATTGGGGCTCCAGCAGGGGAAAAGAAGGAAGAGTCAGACTGGAGTGGGAACAGCGGAGTCCTGTCCCAGGGCTGAGGGCTGTGCCCCGTGAATGCCGGGGGAGCAAGTACACACCATTGATGACCATCGATTGAATTATCCCAGGGGCCTGCTTGCAGCAAAAATGTAGGATCACCATGTGCTGCTGACTTAATGGGAGTGACTGGAAATGGCAAAGACTAGCTTCCCGTACTTACCTAACAGTGACTTTAGTGGGGAGAGGGTGGCTGTGGTAAGGGAGGGGGAGCAGGGAGGACCATGGCCTGTACCCCCAGATAAAACTGGTTCTAATTCTAAGAAAAGGCAACAGAGGCCCAAGGGGGATAGGGGAGGTCAAAGCCATGGAGGAGTGAAGAATTGAGAAGAGAAGGTCTCAGTGGGCCAACACAGGGGGGTTTAGGGTGAAGCCTGAGGTTTGTACATAAAGTGCTGTCAACACAGATTGTCACAGTGGTGAGCTAGCGGCAAAAAATCACGAGGAAACGGCAGTTGTTTATGACCATCTCCATGGATAATGTATTGCCTGTGTATGAGTTTTCATGTGAAGTACCTCCAGAGCCCCAGACTCTGAAGAAGGGGATTGATAATGTCATATATATAATTTGGGCAGCATTTGAAAAAGAAATATTTCTTGCTATCCAGCTCCCCACAGGTTAGTATGGCCTAGCCTTATTAACTTCTCTGTACTGCTGATGCCAGGGTTCTTGTTTGCAAAGCCGAAGAATGAGCTTCACAAACAGTCAAGGTAGGAG